CGATGATGCTACAAATTTCTTTTTAAATAATGCATGACTTGGTGCGTTCATTGGTTTTTTTAATATCTCTCTAAGTTGATTTCCTAAAACAACCGACTTTGGTAAAAAATGTCCAAACTCATTAAATGTCTCTTGAAGTGTCTTATATGGATGAATACTTTGAATTGCATCTTCCACAGATTTCTTAAAGACTGGCAAAGGCGCAATGCACTGATCAAAATATATTTTAATCCTTTCATTATGTAAAAATAAGTAAATAATATCGTCAATTGGTGTTGCCGCCTTATATTCATTGCATGCTACAAATGGAATTGGATTTGATTTATGAGTGATATTATTTCTTAAAAATATCTCTTCAGTACAAGTTCTGGGTTGAATAAACTGCAGGTTATAACCGTTGCTTTTGGAAACAATTGGACTTTGTGTAAAATTTAATGCTTGTTTTTTGGCTAAAGTGATTCCAAATTGATCTATCAACATTCCATGTCGAAAAGGAAACTTTTCAACCCATGTGAGCAAATTTCTTAAGGGAATATCATCAATCCAATTCTTTAAAGCAATTTCTTGATGTTTATTAGAGATTCCTGGAACCAATCGATTTGTAAACACATCAGAATTATAAACATATTCCACTTTATCTAAAAATGTAAGTACAGGAATGATTTCCTCGTAAGATATTATTTCAACCAAATTATCTTCATATAAGCACCTAATCCACATCGCTAAATCTTTTGGCGTTTTTAAAAAGTTTTTATTAGTTGTCTCAATAATAGGAAAATTAAATATTGTTGCATTTTCGAATGGATTTTCTCTTTTCGAATGATAAGAGTCAAGTGCCCATACCAGATGTGATTTTAAGTGCTCTATTTGAACAGATTTTGCGTCGTCAAAATTTCTGAGATACAATTTTCCTCCAGCAAGTAGCTTTTTAGCAAAAAAGTGTCCGTACTCTGTGTAATTATCCGTTATGAAATCATCTTCTTCACTATTTAAATCCAACTTAAATCCTTTATTTATCGGTCCAGTATAAGTGATCTCGGCAATTGGGAATAAAATACACACGTCAGTTTCAAAAATTTCGTTAATAGGATTTTCTTTCATTGATAAAAACTCTGGATAAGTATCCCGTAATTTATCCCAGGATGATTTTGGTTTATCTGAACTGTCCGTAACTACTGTATATATTAATAGTTCTCTTGAATATGTCGTAACATTCAATTTTCCATTGTAACCTAAAATTAATTTATTACTTGGCATAAAATCGTTGCCGGCCAGATACAATCCATGATTTAATCTCCATGCTTTAACTAATTTCTGATCTTCTGATGAATCGTCAAATTCTTCTTGTGCATAGTTTGAAATAATACCACGATATTTATCAACATTACTATTAATTGTATCAGGTGATGATAATGTTGTGATTCCAAGTGAATTTATATTTGTTTGCATGTCTTGATTTGAATTTTCATAAGTTTTAATTGATAGTTCATTTGTGCTAAACTGACTTGAATATTCGCTAACAATGAGTTGATTTAAAGTTTCGAGAATTAAATTTGTTTTTGGCCGATTGGCAGGATCTTGGTCCCAACATTGTTGATAAAGTTCAATGTATTGCGGTGGTGTGTCCTCTATTGGCTTCTCTCTCATTCCATTCAATATTTTAAGTATGATAGAAATTTTAGACATTGATTGATACGGGGGTCTACCACTTGAGATTTCCCAGAGGATTACTCCGAAGCTATAAATATCTGATCTCTTGTTAAGTTCATATTTTTCGTTAGCTAAATATTGAGGTTCAATATATGCTACCATTCCATGAACAATTGAATCCGAATTCATTGACGTCTCATTTATCTGTTTTGACAATCCAAAATCAGCTATCTTTGGTTGTTTTTGATGTATTAAAATATTCCTTGAATGCTATTAAATATGCAAAATTATCAAAACGT